TTTATTTATTTATTTATTTATTTATTTATTTATTTATTTATTTATTTATTCAATTTTCCGAAAACGTGGTAATTTGCCATTTTCTTTAAATTGATGTTACGGAAATATAGATTTGATGTCCCCGAATGGGCCACCGTAATTTCTTCATGGAAAGTGTTGACGTACGGGATTCAGTTTCAAACATCGAAGTCGTGCTGAAATAGTTTTTTGTCAGACTTGGGAAATACACTGGTGGAATATTTGCATTAATTCTTTAGTAGATTCCGATTCAAACTTGAAAATAAATCTTAATCACCTGCTGGTTCAAAAGCTTTCTTGTCTTTTGGCTTCAAAATGATTTCGCAGAGATTTTCAGCTATTTCCTTTCGGTCTTCGAGTAGCTTTTCATTCCTAGCCGTTTTAGCTGTTGAATTTTTGTTTTTTCTCCTGACATTATTAGTTATTGACTTTCTAAAATGCTTTGTCTGGGTATAAGAACTTGAAGTTGTCGATAGAATTCCGTGGTACGTTATCGCAAGTCTTTCCTGATTGGACGAAACGCTTTTTTGCACAGAAATTCGTTTCGCTCAGGCTAGTTGAAGTTTAGAAACGGATTTTCAGATAGAAAAATTTGTACGAAAATTTCAGTATGTATATAATAAAGAGATAAAAGTCACGAAACTCTATCATGGGTTATTTCTGGTGCTACGAATCAACGCTTCAACAGTGAGTAAAGAAATATAAATATATATATTTTTTTAAATTGTTAAAAATTTGTGATTGGACGAAACGCTTCTTGCACGCGAGAAATTCGTTTTACTCCGGCTAGTTGATATTTAGAAACGGATTTTCAAATAGAAAAATTTGTGAGAAAATCTCAGTATGTATATAATAAAAAGATACTCTATCATGGGATATTTCTGATGCTACGAATCAACGCTTCAACAGTGAGTAAAGAAATATAATTTTTTTTTAAATGTTAAAAGTTTGTGAGTAATTTTTAATTAGAACTTTCTTTCTGTAAAGGTTGTATCATTCTATTATGAAATGAAATCTTATTTTTTCTGAATTTTGAGTGATCCATCTCTTTGAGGCTTTTTGTACGGTCACGAGCGATCCTCTTTTTAGTAACCTATATATAATGGAGAGATCCCCASTTAATCCCCTCACACCAGGAAAGTAGATGATGATCTGTTATATTTTACGTATCATACAGCTTTCCGACTACTCGAACTTCTATACAGCAGATAATGAATTCYAATTTTATTCATTTTTCAGAAGTGGCACACAAGAGCTCACAYGATGAAAATCTTGCTATCCTGTCTGTTAGTGTTGTTGCTTTCAGAAACCGGTTATGCCAGTGGTGATGGTGATGGTTTTGGTATGTCGTCAATGTAAAAAATATACAATCTAAAATTAATCGGTATATAAATCGCGCTGTGGTTTTTAAAATCGTAATATTTTCGATGATCGATAACATTTAAATGAATTTCCGTTTTCCAGTGCAGAATAGAAGAGCTTGTTCTTTCACATTTTCCAATGAAATTAGATAGAAATAAAAAATCATAAAACACACAAAAAAGATTACGGGAGTGCTATAGCCCCGAATGCACGGCCAGACATCACCGTTTGTTGATCCGCTTGGTGATAAATACCGACTCAAAGCTGGGGTTGATTAAATCTCAAATGAAGTTACCTCTTGGTTAAATRGCTTTGCCTTGGCAACACGACCAAACTACTATAGATGCTCCATCGGAGGGGAAAGTCCCTTTAATTTCCTGCACAAATTGATTTAACTACATTAACACAAAATAGCTTGTTTTATAGTGATTGTAAACCAAGCGAGAGATGATTGTACTAAAGGTCCGGTGTTTCTCTTTCGATTTCAAAATTGATTTGTTACGAACTGTTTTTGAGACTGTTCATTCTAGGAGCCAGTTCTTACATACTTTACCTGTCTATTGAACTGATCTAGTAGTTAAACATTTAATTTATGTCTGCAGTCTTTGGCTGCACTAGGGTAGCTGTTAGATCTTTGAAAATGTGAAGGAAAAAGTACATTTACTTCAACTTGTTARTTGATGGATACGGTGGTAATTGAAAATTGAAGAAAAATAAACTATACATGGTAACGCTAAACCACTTCGACTTTTTTTGTTTTTTGTTTTTTGACTTGTTGAAAGTTGTCGTTGGGCTCTTCCTGGCGAATATGAATTGCATATGTAGTTGAGAAAACTAATTAAACTGGCCACTTGGCACTSAGTCAATTGAGCCTTACACAGGAAACAATGCCATGCACTATCTTATAGTGACGTAATTTTGGGTCCCCTGTGCTGTTTACGCTCACTCAGTCACGAACTCAATACAATAGCTACGTGGCTAGACTAGCCTCTTTCAGAGGCAGCCAGCCACAAAAAGCGAACACTACGGCTGCTCTCTGGCATTTTAGGTTTTAGATCAACCAACACGCTACCCTAAGGTTATAAAACTTTAAAAAAGTAACATTTACAATAGATTAATAGATTGATAGTTTATTTAAAAAATGCATTCGAAAACTGAAATGCGTAAAGATTTACAAAGTACATGGACGCCATTTTCTGAAGTAAAGCATGATGGTRGTAATAGCCCTCACACTTATTACAAACGTTTAACAATCTTATAAAGTTTTTTTTACGGTTTTTAATTTCTTTGTAGAAACGGAAAAGTTACTTTTATTTTTGCTTATCGGACAGCCATATATATTATGTTTTGCTGCACAAAATGACGTCGCTGCACATCGCCTAATATAGTATTGCATACTATACTTTACCAATTATTTGACTAAGCATTGTATTCATTTGGTATATATTCTTATTTTAGACATCTTTATCGAGATAAAATGTTGGCGAACAAAAACATTTTAAAGATTTATACGTAGTTTGTTTAATCAACCATGAATAATTATAAACTTCCTGGCTTCCAAGCTTTCGACCTAAGCGGTCATCTTCAGGGAACACAAATTATTCATGGTTGATTTAAAAACAAACTACGTATAAATATGAAAAATACAACCAACCAAGATCTTTTAAAATTTTAAAGATTGTTCGTTCTTTTGCTTGCATCGTTACATCATGTTTATTAATGAAAATATTATTTTTTTAGACAACAGTTTCACGGGTACACTAGTAGAGAAAAGCAGTGGAAAATGCATTGCAGCATACGTCCCAGCATCAGCGGGAGAGCAAGCGCAAAGTATGTAGTGAGAAAGAACACAAGCATTTATTCGTCGCTTAAACAGAGAAATCTGGCAATGMCTMTTTCTACTGTCCAATTGCCGGGCTACTTTATTGGAATCTCAGATATAACTTGTTTGCAGTAAAAAAAAGATTAAAATGTAGTGATTTTATTTTGAACTTTCAATTATTATTTTTTGCTTTGATGGAGCTCAAAAAATTAACAAAATATTTTATTCTAATCATTTGCAGTTCCAGAGGGTAGTTCGATGTTGGAGTTGAGAGATTCAAGTTGTTTGATTTTTCGATGGGTCTTGGGTGGCTCTTTCTCAACTGTGACACAAAACAACGTCCGTGCTTTTTTGTACATATGGAGGTTTAACGCTGTTCTCATGGTGAGAACTACTGTTGAGCATTACCGTATTTACTCGAATAGACGCCGCGGCGTTTATTTCATTTTTCACGATCCAGGTGCGGCGTTTATTCGAGGGCGGCGTCTATTCGGGGGCGGCRTTTATTAAAAAAGATTTTATTCGGTACTACATACCGTACTTTTTATTGTATCTTTTTGCTAACAAACAGTAACGATTCTCCATATATAAATGTCGTGTTCATTTTGTCTATTCAATTTATGATTTTRACCAGAGTTAAACTTCTATTTCAATATCAATGTCCTCCTCGTGGTCGGAATCGATCAGCTGCTGAGAGCAAAAAAGTACAATCACTTCGAAATAAAAGATGTTCTAAACGAAAATAAATTCCCATTGCTGGCATCATTATTTCCTCAAATTGACGCCGCACCCACATGCGGCGTCTATTCGGGGGCGGCGTCTATTAATATTTTGAGCTTTAAGTGCGGCGTCTATTTGAGGGCGGCGTCTATTCGGGGGAGGCGTCTATTCGAGTAAATACGGTAACTTCACTTGTATTTTTTTCCACAGCACCAATGACAATTCTAAGAGGTTGATTCAGTACCTTATCCATTCTATACTTAACTGACTCTTGCACATGGGACAGCACACATGTAGTCCACATTCCAAACTACAGCTATTTTCATTATGGTGGGATAGCAACTGCGTTTCATACTGCAAGGCGTTAGRGCTAAACCCCTGACTTTTTATTGTGCTGGTTAAACTGCTCCCAGTTGATAATCGTTTCCTTCATTTTTTACAGAAACCTGAGGAAGTGGAGGCAGATCGAACAGAGAAAATTGATAGAATCTTCTTCAAGAAAGATGGACGGATTTTCGTGAAAAAGGATACATGCATAACTGCTTCTCGACATCGATACATGCAATTCTCTGTTGATTGTGGAGCATCAGTAAATCGTTTTCGGTTCATCGTACACTATGCGGGAAGCGTAAACGAACAAGGTAGGTAATATAATTTGACAAAAAATCTCATGAGCTTTGTGAAAACAAATACATAAAAGACCAATGTTTTTTTCTGATTTCACAATCTCCATGACTAAAAAATATTATGTGTTGAAAAGAGGTTTTAACAAAAAATAACTATAACACAAGATGATTATATCTTTCTTGTCAKTTTTAAAAATACTTATGGATTCTTTTGAATAATTGCATATAGATTTGAAATGATAAACTAGACGCGTAGCTGCGTGGACTCTGGGTTCTTGTTGATAAAATCAAGTGAATCCGCAATATAAATTTTCAGCGTAAATCTCTATATCGAAAAAATTTGTTTTGTAAAATGGGTTTTTCCCACTGTACGTAAGCCAGGTCTTGGGTTGTGTTGAGGTACTCGCAATGCGAATGGTATTCGAATACGACTCAGGCTAGGCACACAACAGCTTATTGTACTCAAAAGGTCCTTACAAAACTCTCCCTAGAACTAGATAAACTAGCTCTTTTACACTAAATGACACGTCAATCTGTGTAAGATTATATTTACATAGTTGGGCGTATTTTGCAGCTATGGCCTGGTTCAGTGAATCTCCCGAAAATGCCAACACGATCGACGCAAGCCAAAATCATTGCGAAAAATGGGATCGTAGGCTCTGTACTTTAGCAGAAGTATGCCCTTCCAGTCCCGAAGGTCAGAGTGCTGCCGGCATAATAGTTTCTGAAAGTTCCAGTAAAAGAGCTGTTCTCGTGGAAGGACAGACATTCGTTGACGCAACGAATTGTAAAACAGTGTCTGATCAACTACCAAGTTATACTGTAGATGGTTTTTTATGCTGTCCTACTGATGCTCGGCCAACACCTACAAACCTTGTCAGCGGTGGTGAGTGTGTTCACGAGTGCACTTATTTCTGTTTATTCGATTGAAAAGGGGAGTTCGAAATTCAAGGGATATATGTTGGATTTAGAAACCTTCCCGGATGCTGTTAAGGAAAAAAAAATCATTTCTTTGCAACGTTAAGAAAACCTTAGCGTGTTATAGTAGTGTCTCCTCTCGCAACCGCTAACTACAAGGCTCATTCCAAGGTCACTCTAGACCTGAACTTTACTCATCTTTCCATACGAGTTTCAGAATAATGGCAGTATAATATTTTTTACACTATTTCGAAAAAATACGGATTAATTACAGCAAATTCTAACATTGGTTTTAGCCTGCATAGCGGGGAGGGGCTCGTTCACTCTAGACCTGAATTTTACTCATCTTTCCATACGAGTTTCAGAATAATGGCAGTATAATATMTTTTACACTATTTCGAAAAAATACGGATTAATTACAGCAAATTCTAACATTGGTTTTACCCTGCATAGCGGGGAGGGGTTCGGGGGCGGCGGAGGAGGTTGAAAAACAAATGGACCATGTGCCTTAAGTGTAAGCGACAACTCGAAGTAAATTTAACACATCAACTTACCGTGCCGATACTCCAGTTTCGAGTTCAAAGCGGATAAAACCGCTGTTTCATATGACAACAGATTCTCTTGTGCAAAAGCCTTACCAGAGAAAAAAAAACAATTCAGGGCTTTTGTAATACAACATTTTCAGCGGTTATATCCGCTTTGAACTTGAAAATGGAGTATAAGAGGTTAAAGGGAATGTTTCGTCACTTGATATAATTGCACGCTTATCTTAGTCACATTCAAGTACCAGCTTTTCTCGGCCATATGCAAATCCCTGCCTCTTTCCAATCGGTTCAAAAGAAACTAAGATGAGTGTACTTTTGTACATTGTTTTTTTTTTGTTCTTCTTCTTCTTTTTTAGGTTACGGCTTTCTAATGCATAAAAGTGGAAAGTGCATAGATTATAAGGCGGACGTTCTGTCTCTCAGYGATGACTGTAACAGTCAAAGTGCTCTCATGATCTGGTCACGTGATGGATCTATCAAGCAGGGTACTGAATGTATAGTTCCTGAGTCATTTGGACAGTGCCCTCCGTAAGTATTGTGATAAACCCTCGTTTAATAAATCCATTGCCAAAATAGTCGCCGAAAATTACCATMTTTTTTGTCAACATAATTTGACACGATCCATCAGAAATGCATCTATTAAAGCTTTATTTAAAGTTCTTAAAAATCTCTGGAGGTTCCGTTGAAAATTAATCTCAATAGAATGATGTGATTTTTTTAACACTTTAACGTCCGCGATTTATTTTTGATTTTAGGTTGTATTTCAAAAATTTAAATKTACCCCATATAAGGAGTTGTCAATCAAACTGTTGTAGATTCACATTCATATGGGTGGTTTGTTTACATCAGCGACGCCCGGTGAATTTGAGACGGGTCGCTAAATTAATCAACCCAGCACTCGCTCTCAATTTCGCCCAAAAAACGTTTTTAAGTGATTTTTCGAGTCATTTGCTGCCACAGAAGCCCCCAGGACTGCATTATAAGCGGGAAGCGATTTTTCGAAGACAATGTCGCCAATACGAAGTTAGCTTTGAATTGCCGACGTTAGAGAAAGGTCGCCTCCATTCTGTGGCAGATTTCAGAACCTACCAAGGAAAAATTGGCAAGTTTTAACATCCAAAGAATGCAATYGGTGCAATATTTTGCCTGTATAGGTGCGAGTGGCTTGGCACTTATGAAYACAGGAACGTTGGTTGCTCCCTGTCGAGTTTGAACCAGACTCCCATGATGCACATCGGCCGCGCAATTGAGAAATCTAGGTTTGCTGTGCTTGGTGTCGAAAAGGGGGCTGTGTCTAGATCTGCAGAGACTTCTACAAAACAAAAATGCAAAAATACTAAAGACCTGGAATGGCCAATTTMAAAAAACATAGAATTTCGATTTGCAAAAGATGATTTCGACTCTAAAACTGGAGACGAAAAGACGTGATTYCAAGCCTTATTGGTGCACCAAAAAGTCGAAATTTGGGCATTCCTATTTTTCAGGGGTCCATTTTGCGCTTGTATTGATGTGAAATCTTTTTAACTCTAAGATAGAGTCATATTACTAGCTGTTGTCATGGAGTACATTTAGTGATCTTCTTTTGCGATCTCGGAAACTTGTAATTTTTAGAAGCATCGTTCCTGCAGCAACAATAATCCCTAAAGCGGACGTTAAAGGGTTAATTTGAGGTACAGAAGTTGATWGCCTGGTTATGGGTATGTCTAATAACCATGTAATCAAGCAGCAATCTTTCTAAATTTTGGAGTTTGTTAAATAATGCGATATCTCTTTCCAATCTAAAGGATTTCTTACAGGTTTTTTTAAAGCATATCGTTTATGTAAGGAGTCATTTTGAGCAAATGCGAATACAGGGAGTAGCAAAAGGGTGCTATAGCCCACTCCATGAGCAGAAAAGTGAACTGTATTTCTTATTATTTTCAATGTTGTTTACCACAATTAGAGACCATTTAACCGCCCTAAAAACATTTAACACTGCCCTTGTTGAGCTAGGATAAACAATAGTCAATCGGTTAAGCTATTTTTCACAACTCGTGAAAGTAACTTTCAATGTCCATTGATTAAGACAGAAGTCAATATTGTAAAAAAATATTCATAATGTGAAATGTTCTTTAAGTTTTCAGTTCACGAATGACAACTCCCTACGAAACGCATTTACCGGAAAGTGTTTGGTCCCAACTTCGGAAGATGTGAACCCTGCACATGGCACCGTGCTAGTTCAAAGGGCAGCGTGTGGAGAGGAATACTCCAGCTTTGTATTAAAGAGTACGTTATCATTGATATGAAAATAATTCTAAGTAATCCATACACTTTCTCTACAGTGTCTGAGATTTTTCGCATGGAGACGGATAAGCTATAAATACACGGGCGGATACAGGAAGTGGAATAGAAAAATCCAGTCATGTATCATGGCTCGAAACCTGCTTTTTAATAGCTGAGCTATAGTAGCGCACTTATAATGTTTTTTCTCATCATATTTTCTTTTTTTATATATCATCTATTATTTGTCCATTGTTTCTCAACAAATCATGTGATTCGTACAAGACCGAAAAAATCCATGCCAAACAAAGTCAAATACAAATTATTAAATTTGAAAGACTTTGAAAGTCGGAAAAGAATTCCATAGAATCGATAGTTCAATTAATTGTGATCATGTATATTCAGTTTTAAATTTTATTTAGAATTAGGTGACTTTTGATTAATTTTTTGGCATCAAAATTGTGAAAGGGGCTGAAACCCAGCCAATCCACCTATTCGGCCCCTCAAGTATCACTTTATTCAAATGCACAAAACAGCATCTTCAGTTTAATATTAAATAAAATATTTTTTCATGCAATAAAAGTATTTCATGTGTATCCCAYATCTTTCATCTCTGATAAGAACGTAGGCAGATCCGTTGTCAATATATTGTGTTTCGTTTTTGTTTCAGGAGTACAAGGATACCTGAAACATTCCAGCAACAAATGTGTGGGTGTAAATGCAAACAAACTTGTCATCAAGGACTCGTGCACTTCATTTGAACAAGTTTTTCACAAAGACGAGTTCTCATCTTTTCTGATTCATTTAGCAAGTGCAAAGTGCGTCTCAAAACCCAGCCAAGGTGGTGAGGTAGGAAATTCTTAGATAAGAATATATCATTTATTCGCGGGTAAGATCCAAAAAAAAAATCATTTCACATCCTCTAGTAGCTAGAACGAGCCTATTTTTGCATTTAGAGTTTTGAAGTATGCAAACAATGCTTTGTGTATGTTAGTATGAGTCCTTTTTTTTTACTACATTTATGAGAAATTTTCCGGAATAAATATCATTTGGAATTGTGATCAAAATTAGATGACATACAAGGTAGAAAATAATATTATCTTTAATTATTGATCTGTATGCACAGCRATGCTCAGGTTCGCTACATATCCAAAAAAAATATCAGAAGTACCAGAATTACACAATTATTCTGACAATTTCAATCACAGTTCTTCGTCTAAATATGTTTATAGATAATAAATTTGCATAATTAATGCTACTTTTGTAATATTCCTTCCAGTAACACCTTGTTTAATTTACATTTCTGTAGGCCCTGACTCTAGTAGATTGTACATCGAAATTAGCGGCAACTTTGACATTTGATGGAACAATTCTCGGTTACAGTGGGGGCAAGTGCTTGAAACCACGAAGTGGAGGAGAGAGTCCGGCAGATAACGAAGAATTGGTAATCGAAACAGGATGCTCGACTGCAGCGTCAAAATTTCATTTTGCAGGTACATTTTGAGTGTAGTTTTGATTACTGCGGTTTTCCGTTTTCTGCGAACTCTAGCACTGCGAACGTTAACGGTCATTTGCTGTTTTTGCTCCCGTCAATCAAAATTCCGAAGTAAATGAACTGCTTTCGTGACTCCTCCCACAAAACCGAGCCAAGTCCGAAAGTCCACCATGTTTGTTGTTTGTTTCTTGCCTCGTGARCTTAACTCTGATCTTCGATGGAGAATTGTTTTCATGCATGTCGGCCACATTCCCCMAAAAACTTCTTCCAAGTAYTGCTTGTTGGATAGACATTTGTGCACAAAATCTTGAAGATATACAGGGAAATTGGAGATGTTCGAGATGGCGCTGTAACATATATTTTTCATTGTGATACACACAAGTCCAATGGCCTAATGGCAACGGACGAAATTAACTTCTTTTTTGGGAGGATGAGCTGAAATTCCACCTAATCAGTTAATTGTTAGGTCAAACTTGACCACACTTGACTACTTTTATGTGCATTCGGGACTTAATGAAAACTAACAGCGGAGTCATCAGAGTCATCAGCTTCATTTTCTGTTATATTAACTTTTCGTTCACTTCTTATCTGTTTACGTAGCGAACAAAACAACAGAGTTGAAAAACATGTTTCGTCTTTAATGACCTTCTCAATTTCAACTGACAGTTCACAGTTTACTCGCGCAAYASGTTGAACAGACGCGCGCRCTAGGCGCACGTGCTAGTGGAACACCAACACAAACATAACATTACACACATTAAATCTACGCTATATTAGCCCTAGGCATATTTACAAAGTTCCACTCGTTCTTATTATTTATTGTCTTGGTTTGATCTTGACTGCTGATCTTAACAGACTCCGCGATCTGTCTCAACATGGTGTCTCCTTGATAAGTACCGGTTACGTTCATAGTAAAGCTAGTCTTTGTTCCGTCATACTTGTCTTTGCAATGTCTGTTTATTACTGACGACTTGACTCCATTACTCATATCCTTCAAGTGTTCCCTTCCTCTACACGCTTTACATTTCAACTAGTAGGTAATACCAGCGGTTTTRCAATTACCTTTACCTTCGGTTTTGCAAACAAAGCAATTTTCCTTTTCGCAACTTCGTTTCCTTAAAGGATTCGACCTTTGCAAAATCTTCTTTATACTCGTTCCGGTCTTCTCAACTATCTTGATCTTAATCCCACTACTCCTGACATCAGTCTCCASTCTGCGTTTCAACTCAGAGCTTGTGTGGCAGGTACCATGATGACACTTTCGTACCCTCCTCTCCTGTACCACGTCTTCCTTTTGTTCTCWTTCTYYTCTACTCTTTCTTTCCTTCTCCWCTCCTTATTTCTGTACAACGGTCTCTCTCCTGCTCGGTCGAGCTCTTGTAGGTGTCTATACGCCTTCAGTGCCGAGCTAACTACYTCATGACGAAACYGTTTMTCATACCCAGAGTACTGCATTCGGAGAATCATTTCTTCTACATGTTTTGCAGTACACTCCCATAGTAGATAGTAACTGTAGTTGAACAGTACCCTCAACACTTACTGGGTTAATATGGTACGTTTGGTACTCCACGGTACAGCAGATCGCGAATGTACCACATACTTTGAAGAGACACTCTTTGCATAGAATTCATGTAATACGCACCTCGCCTTCGCACCGTCGACTTCAATCTCTTCTATCCACACTTTAAGATTTCAAAATAGGTAACTTCTTATCATGATAATTAGAACAACAATCTACTTCTACTTGAATTGAATGGTGAATAGCGTTGGCAATAGATTGCATCAGTTTCATGCACCTTTCATCTTTCTCTTTCTCTCTATCCTCCTTTTCAGTCTTCAACGTAACCTCGATACAACCATCAACATACCTCGAACCCAAAGCGGGCGCTTCCATTATCAAGTTGATGTCGTCAACATATCTCTTGTACATGTAAATGTTTAACCCAAGAAATTGAGAAGGTCATTAAAGACGAAACATGTTTTTCAACTCTGTTGTTTTKTTCGCTAMGTAAACAGATAAGAAGTGAATGAAAAGTTCATATAACAGAAAATGAAACAACGGAGTCATGATGCCTAAAACTCATTTAAAATTCAACCAACCAATTTTTGTCTTGGACCTATACCTTTTTGACTACTACGAGTTTTTATGTAATATAAGTAACATGATTTTATTTTTTTAAGATGCCTTAATTTGCGAAGGTGAGTCTTGCCAATGCGTGGAAGGATACGAGAARCACAGTGGACAATGTTTTCCCATCAACAACTGCAAGCTTAGTAATGGTAATTGCACTGGAGAATTAARGTGCGTTTATACAGGCCCTGGTACAAGCATGTGTCTATGCCCCACTGGTTATCAGCTGAATTCAGATGGAATAACTTGCGAACAATGCCCAGACAAGAACTGCTACAGTCAGTGTCAGTTTATAGATTACAATGAGCTTAAAACTATAACAAACCGGCAAAGTCATGTTGAGATTCGATTCATGAATATCAAGACATCTGATTTATCGACATACATAGGAGCTACCAAGGAACTTGTAATTTATACACAGCAGCTTATTATATCTGGGGTTCTAAATTTACCTACGGTCATAGAAAAAGTCGTCATCTTTGCAAATGACGTCGTGAGTGAAGAGGGAGCACAAATTGTACTTCGGAATAGCGAACCAGAAGGTCGCCGTACAGTTATTAAAGTTGAAAACAACAACCTCTTGTGCGAAAACCGCTATTCTGATGAATGGGAACAGTCTRACGAGGGAGCAATATTTGACATCTATACATCTAAAACATCAGCACCTTTCTCGTGCTCTGGAAACTACAACTCGATGGACCTGTCAATACAAGATATTATCAAATCTAAATCCATTCCAAAGAGATCTCTAGACGCTGAATTTTACTCTATTATATTAAATTGTGCCAAGGTCAAGGCGCAAGGAACGCCATTTTCAAAAGATGGCAAGTTGCTCAAGGGAAGCCTTCCTGTGTCATTGGTTGAATATGTTCTGGATGATATCAGAGCGGCTAAGGAGGGACAACTGRATACATCGTCAGCAAATGTGTTAAGATTGAATGCAAAGAATTTGATGGAAGATCTGTCCATTCGTGCCAGTGGATACCATAGAGTTCCTTACTTGTCTCTGAAAGCGCACGAGAAGATTCTAGTCCTCATCAAGGATGACGCCAAAATGGCCATACAAAAATACGAAAGGTTCGAAAGAATAACTCAAGATTTTGATGCAGGAATTGAGGCGACAAATTCTATGACTGAACTTATGACAACTATCGTAAGGAAAAACGATCTGGACGTTGAATCTCTAAAAACGCAACTCGAAGCAGCAAAAGCGGACTCGAATGCAATGAAAAACAAACTGGAAGAAGCCAAAAGTGCCTTAGAAACTGCAAGAAAAACTTTCGAAGAAGGGGTCCGTCAATACCAAAACCAAATGATTGTAAATGCAGTGTTTTCTGTACTCGGTGGTGTTGCTTCGATATTTGCTGCCGGGGCTGGTGGTGTCGTTGGTTTTACGATTGAACTCGGTGATCTGGCMGCCGATATTGGCAAATTGCAGAAAACCATGTTCAAGTTAGGCATTATTATGGATTCTATTAGCAATATAGCAGATGCAGCAAATRCATTCACGGACCTTCATTACGATGTCATACCTTATGCTGGTGCTGAAGCCTCAGATTACTTTTCAAAGTCAATACCTGAGTTGGGAGACAAGAGTTTGGCAGTGATGCTACTGGAGTGGGATGTATTTGCAACACAAGCAGACGCATTTCTTGGAGTTGGAACAGCCAGTGGAATATCAGGAGCATCAGATTATTTAGCAGCGCTTAACACAGTGGCTATATGGGGAAAAGGATACCACGAAAAAACTATTACCGTACAAGAGATTCTATCGACCTTGACTAAGCTGGAGACACTTCAGAAYGACCAGCATGATGCACAAGAGAAGATAAAAACATCTCGAGAAAATGCACTTGCTAACAGAAGGGTCAATGGAGTACTCCTAGTCGAAATGTCACTGCAAAAACAGCGACTTCGTAACATAATGATTGACAAGCTAATGCTCTTCTGTGATTCTTATTTCTACAACTGGCTGTCGAAATGCCCTGTAACGCCATACATGTCAGATGACTTGTATGCGTTGCATGAGAAAGTGAATCAGGGACTCAGCGCTGTTATCAACGCTGTAGAGAATTTTGCACCTTTCGTTCCACAGGAATTTGAAGCAACAATTATCCTAAAGGACGATAAAGAAAAATGCAGTGCTGACAGGAAAAAGAGGTCTGCTGATGGTGCAAAYCAGTTGGCMAAGAACACATTAGAATGCCCTGTTTCAGAGCTCAAGCGCGCTAAAGAATTTCTATTCAAGATTGACGAAAAAGATCCACTCGTCTTTAAGGGACATGAGCGGGTCCACGTTGAAGAAATTGAGGTTTTTTTTGAAGGGGCTAAATTTGAAAGTGAAAAAGTCTCTCTAAAAGACGTTATCACAGCATGGATTTCATTTACCGGAATGATGTCAGACATCTTCAGGGGAAATCGTTATCAATTCCTTGCCCCTCCTCGAAATATAGAGTTCTCTTACAGGATTACACCACGTTTCTACAAAGTAACTCAGTATGGAAAAGTAAGCAGCAAATTTCAAGAATTCTACGACGGTATTTCTGCACTTACGACCTGGAGAGTTATCCTTCCTAAATTAGTTAATAGAAAAAACCTTAATTTAGACGAAGTTAAGCAGATTCGGATCAACCTCAAAGGGACAAGAGTACCTATACAGCCTGTAAAAAMACCTCAACGCGATGCTGCCGATGTCCTGGGGATAGCAAAAGATCATGAAGCAAGGAATGGGACGACAGAAAATTATTTTAAGAAAAGGTTTAAAGTACATCAAATGTCCTTGCAAAATCATCCAAGGAAAAGGAATTAACTTGCTGTCATGTAATAAATTCAATAAAACTTATGTTTTATTTTCAACTGATGTGCTTTATATACCGCTTCTTGTCTTCTTTTTTACATACAATATGGAAAATGTTTATGATGCAAGTCTTGGTATCCATTAAGTATCATTTTAAGCCTCTTGAACACAGTCACGGTTTCACTAGATTTGTTTCAGTTGAACAAGACCGAGTGTTTTATTATTATTGTTTCATCCATTTACTACTTTTTTATTACATAGATCCCAAGGATTTTTAGGTACACTTAATCTCTCTCCTGAAAACTTTCATTTAACATACATATCAYTAGCTATATCTGTCCACCTCCATCTGCCGTGCAGTTTGAGGAGTCTTTCTCTAGAACCTATATCCTTATAATTTTGTGCAATTGACGTCGCTCCGCCAGAGCGAAACAAGGAAGCGAAGAAAGCTTAGGATTTTCAGACAATCTTTAAACATGTTTCTGAACGTGGATTCCCAAACTGGTCTTATCACGTTTTTCTTGAGAATTTTAATTATACAACGTTTCTGGACATATCATAATACGGTTGATGAGCGGTCAACCCTCACGACTTTCCATACTCAGGTTCAGTGACCACGAACAAAGCATTGAACCGAGGCGTCAAGGAACACTGATCACAGATCATTTCTTTTATACTCGCTGTACCTTGACGTCTCGGTTCAATGGTTTGTTCGTGGTCGTGAAATAGATTGCCCAAGAACGTGATTTGGAACGGTTTATGCACGTTCGTGAACATAACTAACTTTCTATATCATAAAAGCGAATAAGGATGAATAAGCCTTTTACCAGTTCAATGTGAGTGACCGCTGTTTAAGTAGACAACAGACTCACTTGAGTAGAGAACAGAAAAAAAGCACGAAAAAATGTTGACATTACAATAGCTCTAGAAATTTGAATCTTCTCCGATTTGGATTTATAAAAAGTAATATTTAAGCTTTATGAAAATCGTATTTTTATTGAAAAAGTCCAAATTCCATTTTCTGAATCATGTTTGCGTACCTACACAAGATGTTTTGAWCATTTTTAAMACCTTGATTAATACAACGTGTCCGTACTCCTTTATGTATGCCCTTACCGAAATATTAACGCAAAACATTCGAAAGGAGCGGTATATTTGATAAATTTTGATATATAATTTTCCTATATTTCCAAAAATTTTAAAGGGTCCAAACACGATAAAAGCCTATCATATTTCAACTTATTTTGCTGTTCGTCGCCGATCTGTAGACGCCTCGAGAAGCTTTGAATATGAGGCCCTCCCAGGGGTTATCGGCAACAGGGGATCAAGGGCATTTTTTTATGGGAACAAGGGATATTAAAAGATTATTTGCGGGATAAAGGGAACATTAGATGTCATAAATGGGAACAAGGGAACACAAATTTCAATATTTAATGATGTTTTTTTATGATTTACTTTGCAAACGAGATGAAAAATCTTATATGTCCAATTTATTGTTGCTATGTGACTTTTGAGCCACTCAAAACATGCTGGAGCTTTATTCCTTCAACAAAAAAGAGTGTTGATGCAGACATGGAGCTTATTGGTRGCAAAACAATAAACAAARGTCCACAAGGGACGACTGGAAAGAGATTATTTTCATTATAAATAAAAAAGGATCCATAAAAAGACTCATAAAATGATGTAGGAAGAATAAGAAAATTTGAGGAACAAGGACACATAGGGTAAAATAATTTCAAGGAACAAAACATTTTTTATAGGGATCAAGGGATAAAACGGGAAAAAATGAAGGGAACATGGGAACATGGACCCATGATTAAAAAGATTATAAGTAAAAGAATAAGTCGTAATGATGTTGAAGACGAGAAATTAGCTTGAATGTGTATAAAATATTTAAAACTTAAAAGTCGCTATTGTTTAAAAGGAGCTGAAACTCTTCCGAGGATGGAGAAAATGTCATCAATAAATATTTGAATAAAACAAAAGAGATCAAAAGATGAGGAGCAACTAAAATCACCTGTTGATTTGAAAAGATGAGAGCGTGAACTCACATGTGGAAAACTGGATTGTCAACGAATTCCAGGTCGGGGATTGGTTAGTCTACAGATTTCTTTGATCCGCATGACGCCTAACTGCTATTTCCAGTACTACCGATCAGGTATTTCCAAGATCGGTGCGACAGTAACTTCAAAACTCAATGCAGTTTGAATTAAGGAAACAGGTGGAACTTGTGTGTCATCACAGTAMAGTTTAACGCATACAAACTTAGTTATCATTTCGATTTGAACTTCCAGTCGTTCACAAAGGAGAAAGCAAGAGGCTATAGTAAGCAAACGGTGAGTTTATTGGATATTTCCAACAGGCACAAACAATAAGGTATTAAGAATAGCTAATATTCCCAATATAGAGGCTTCCTCAGTACTTTGTATTTACTATAGTTTATAAATTAGCGTTGCTGATACCACGTTATTTCACCTTTTTTCTCTCGCTGTTGTCCAGTGTTGTCCAGTGTTGTCCAGTGGAGTATAGAGTCAACAAACATCTAAAACCTAATCATCAAAAAGCAACCAATAGAATTTTTCATAACCATGACAAATTTTTGATCAATTCCATCCGCAAATACCATTGATAACAAAAATGAAATATTAAAAATCTTTTAGTTAGAGGGAATGTTCTGAAAAAAAAAAGTCAGTAAAATGATTTTATTAACATGTCAATATTCAAGTGTGGCGAGATTGTAAGGACATGCTCGACTAGTAAGGATCGTTCTGATTTGCCACTCGTTTATTCTTGGTTCTCACGTACAGTAATTACAAAACTATGGTTATTAATTTGTTCGGTGCAAGATGAGACTGAAGAAGGTCGACCAGAAAGACTTTCCGCGTCGGAGTGCTTGTATAGTAGGGCTTCCAAACTCAAGCACTTTCCATACTTTGGTCTGTACTTTCCAATAAGATCTAGACTACAACCCCATTCTTAGCCCGTAATAGGTACAATGAAATGAGTAGTGTGTTTCGAGTKCTATAAAGTCAGTCCTTTTATAATTCTAAACCTAATCCAATATCCTGTTGCCATCAAATGCTAGTCAAAACTAAGACGATGGTAGTCTTAACTATAGAAGGTTGAACCACACATGAAACTACATGTAACTAACATTAGTCAAAACAGTCTAGGTCTCTAATATCAACATTTATCGAAAAGTACAAGGTCATGAGAAATTCATGAGTGCGCTATCATTATGAGGACAATCACATAGTTACAACACACACACAAAGAAGCCAACCAACCGACCCATAACTGATCACGGAGCACAGCTAGGATCGAAATGTTCCGTTTTTGCTGCGGGAGGAAAACCCGMACAACTCGAAGAAAAAACCCTCGAGGCAAGAGAGAGAACGGAAACAAACTCAAGCCAAGTCAGAATCGAAGCCGGGATCACAGCGATGACAGACCGGTGGTCTCACCGSTCGGCCACTCTTGCTCYCCTTTTAAATTTGATGCAACATTTTTGAATGCGAATACGTTTTTAAGAATAATATTTAATCCATATATGATTCTTTTTAACTTACAGTGAACCTGATTAAATTGTATTCTGGAAAAGGTGTTCTGGAAGAGATCACAGGATGAAATTCTTGTTGGCTTACCTGGTTAACCTGGTATTGCTCTTGCTTGTAGTAGACTGTCTCAGCGATATTACTGACTTAGAAGATGGTATGGTAAAATATATCAGCTGAACTGAACTCATTATATGTTAACTTATGGTGTTAAAGTCCAATGCTTCCATTTTAATTTTCCGGGGTTTTTTTCAATCATTTCTCAAAACCAATTGCAAGGCTCCCTCCTTATAGTTGCACAGTCCCTTAATTCTTAGAAAATATCCCATAACAAACATGACATGTCATTATTGCAGTTGTACATCACTGTCCGTTTTATTTAATTGAAATTCTCTAATATAATCAATTGCAGAAAGGTAGTGGATACAAGGGCGCTAGAACTGAAATTATGACCTATAAGATCCAAAAATTGCTTAATTTATCCAACATAAGATAGTCGATAATAAATTGTAAAGTTTTACTTATCTGAAATATACACTGAAATGTCCTCTTAGACACTAAAAAGCACTTGATTTTACGAAATTCATCCAAATGATCGTTACTCAAGCGGTTGTTGCTGAATTTATTACCGCTGTCCTTGTTGTACCAGCCACTGCTGTCTCGCCAGGAACGTTATTCATTAACCGGATTAAAATCACTTTGCCCTGGCTGAACACCAAAAGAGACAGGGGCAGGCAATAACTAGCGGCCCCTTTGACCACTCGTCTGACTCACTAATCGGATTAAGTTGACAGGACCTAGGGACACTGATGACAGATTAGTCCTGGCCGAGCGAGTCTTCGTTGGCCCGAATGTGACCTCGTCAGAGTTCGGGATTTGAACTAAAACGCTCTCGTCTTGAGGATGGTCAAAACTATCGCCATTTAAATGGACAAAGTGCCTGGCCGAAATCTAAGTTCAACTCCATTTGGAAGAAACCGAAATGAAAGCTAAATGTTAGTCGTAAAGCACCGCTCACAAACAAGTTTATGCGACTGACACTTTGAATATAATGCTGCTTAACAAAAAATGTACTGTTTCTATTTCTCAATTCAACGTTTTTAAACACGAATTCAACACACTCACATCTTAGTTTCATATGTAACAAAAATTATTGACGAGCGCTTCGCTCAACTTTTAAATGACTTTCGATTCGAAAACCGACGAGTTATAAAACATCGCGACGGTAGCGTATTTACTATTTCGGGCCNTTGTGAGCGGTGCTTTACGACTAACATTTAGCTTTCATTTCGGTTTCTTCCAAATGGAGTTGAACTTAGATTTCGGCCAGGCACTTTGTCCATTTAAATGGCGATAGTTTTGACCATCCTCAAGACGAGAGCGTTTTAGTTCAAATCCCGAACTCTGACGAGGTCACATTCGGGCCAACGAAGACTCGCTCGGCCAGGACTAATCTGTCATCAGTGTCCCTAGGTCCTGTCAACTTAATCCGATTAGTGAGTCAGACGAGTGGTCAAAGGGGCCGCTAGTTATTGCCTGCCCCTGTCTCTTTTGGTGTTCGGCCAGGGCAAAGTGATTTTAATCCGGTTAATGAATAACGTTCCTGGCGAGACAGCAGTGGCTGGTACAACAAGGACAGCGGTAATAAATTCAGCAACAACCGCTTGAGTAACGATCATTTGGATGAATTTCGTAAAATCAAGTGCTTTTTAGTGTCTAAGAGGACATTTCAGTGTATATTTCAGATAAGTAAAACTTTACAATTTATTATCGACTATCTTATGTTGGATAAAAGCAATTTTTGGATCTTATAGGTCATAATTTCAGTTCTAGCACCCTTGGTGGATAGAAGTTATCCCGGGGGGAGGGGGTACTCCCCTATATTCGCTATACGGGGACGTGCCGCCARCYAGGGTATCGTTTTCAGCGATTTTACTMTGGAACTGGGTATCGWTTTTRGCGATTTTACTYTGGAACAGGGTATCGATTTCAACGAATTTTCTCTGAAACAGGGTCAGGGTTTAATTCCGGAATTATTGATGCCGGATAAAAATTCACGGGGTAAAATTCGGTCTACAGGCAAGCTACATTGTAGTGCTGGATTTTACTCTGGAACAGGATATCGTTTTTTAGTGATTTTACTCTGGAACAGGGTAAAGTTTTCAGCGATTTCACTCACCTAAAGACGTACAGAAGAATCTTTAAATAGATTTTGAAGGCAACTCAAACGCTATGAAAGAAAGTACCGCATTTCTCTGTTTAACTGCAACAACATTAAGAAAACCTTATATATTCCTATTTATTCAAATTCATTTGCTATTCACTTAAATTGTAACTTAATGTGTAATGTGTATTAAAAATGTTGTTGTTGTTGTTGTTGTTGTTGTTGTTAATCAGGAATTTGAGCAATGCATGCAAAAAAATAATGTTGAAAGAAGAGAAATCTGCCAAAGCAATATATGCAAAGGAAAATAATGTTGAAAGAAGAGAAATCTGCCAAAGCAATATATGCAAAGGAAAATAATGTTGAAAGAAGAGAAATCTGCCAAATCTCCTGTGTTTTCGTATATCAAAATCGCTTTATAATTAACGTGGGGTATAGGTGGGCGCCAATGTTTACGTTCAAGCTACAATAGTTTGCATAAAATTCAGAAATCGAATTTCAAGACAAAAGAAAATCAAGCCCATAAATGAAAAGAACTCATACCTGTTAACAATTCCTGCAAATTTGAAGGCAATTGGTTAAATATTTCAAGAGATATCAAGCGCCAAATTTGCAAGATTTTCTAAAGAAATGACCGTGGTTGGCATTATTTTGCCAACCACTGAATGTTTTCTATAGATTTTCTAGTTTTGAAATGCCGATATCTCGAAATGTAAAAAGGCGTTTGCCCCAGAATTTTCAGGTTTTTTTGAGAGTAATATAATCTTGAAATATATTAGTATTCCTTATTTTTTGAATTTTATATTTTGGGTGTAAACAAACTACGTCATCGTACGCCCACCTATTCACTACATTTTAATCAATGCCGAKTGATGAAGCCTTGGGATGTGGSTACCTCTGCATCTTATTTGGTATTTTATGAATTCATTATAAATTATGTTTATGTGAACATATTTTCGTCCAAATGCTTCTTTGCTAATGACTGAATGATATTTGACGAACATATTGTTTGAATACTGAATCCGTAAAAAAAATATTGCTTTAGGGCGTTTGCTAATATCATGCTATCTCTTTAGGTGTTGTCAGTGGAATTATACGAAACAAAGATACCAACAAATGCATTTATAAAATAACTTGGATACTACGCGCGTTCTGATTGGCCGACTGCCGTGTTTGCATCAGAGTATGTAAACATGRTTTTGACGTCACCATTTTYTGTYAAGTGCGATTCAAAACTAGAAGTAGAATAGGAAAAAAATCAGCTATTTATACAAAAATGTATCCGAAAACTTGGAAACAACTAGTTATGAGTATTCTGCATGAAGTTTTACTATTTCTTGTAGTTTTTGAGTACGTAGAATCCTCGGTATAAACTATAGATAAACAAAACAACTTGAAACTGGAAGTGAAAAATCAAAAACGTAATAAGCTTAACTGCATGTTTATTATTGTAAATAACGTGTGAAAAGCAAGTTACATTYTTCTATGAAGCTAAAAATTGAGGAATTTAGTGAGTATTTTGCATTAAGCTTATGTCGATTTGCGCTTGAGGAGATTTCTTTCAGTTCAACGATTGTTCATAATGAGTCTCTTTATAAATTCGTTACATMCAAGTACACGATAAACAAGCTACTAGTTTAACCTAAAAATATGAATACCAGCTTATTTATTAAACGTAAATTTTTATCCGACCAAGGTCTTTATTTGTAGCTTTGGGAATATTTTCGTACGGTTTGTTGTCATTGCAGTTSWTGCATCGCTSGMATAAAATTATCTTCWGTTTGATATTGTTACCAGATACCAGTTCAATAAAAAATCTTTATGAATTCCACCTTCTTATCCATGAAGCGGAGTTCATACGACCAATGCTTTCATGTGTTATTTGTGGCTTTGTGAATTTTTTCGTCGGTGATGCTGAAGTGCCGGCACGTCGAAGCGGCTAGTCAAACATCATTTAAAGTGTCAAAACAAAGTCTTTCAGCAAGTATATTCCTGCAGTTTTTCAAAAATCTCATCTTGATATCATTTCCATACCAATTCTGAAAGGAAACGTAACATAAAGCTTTACTTCAAATCAGTGAATCGACGAAGATGTAAATGTTTTCATTCAGCGAAAGCAGTACACATTCCGTTGCTGGCTTTACCTACCTTTTTCTAATTTTTTTGCGTCCAGTTGACCTTTTGACACACATGCACCCTTTCTCCTCAAAGAACACATAGTTTATGATTCATCTAAGATCACTAAAAAGGCAATTTTGATGCAAAAAGAAAGAAAGAAAGTCGCCCGCCGTCGTCCGCCATTTTTNTACGAAGACTCGCTCGGCCAGGACTAATCTGTCATCAGTGTCCCTAGGTCCTGTCAACTTAATCCGATTAGTGAGTCAGACGAGTGGTCAAAGGGGCCGCTAGTTATTGCCTGCCCCTGTCTCTTTTGGTGTTCGGCCAGGGCAAAGTGATTTTAATCCGGTTAATGAATAACGTTCCTGGCGAGACAGCAGTGGCTGGTACAACAAGGACAGCGGTAATAAATTCAGCAACAACCGCTTGAGTAACGATCATTTGGATGAATTTCGTAAAATCAAGTGCTTTTTAGTGTCTAAGAGGACATTTCAGTGTATATTTCAGATAAGTAAAACTTTACAATTTATTATCGACTATCTTATGTTGGATAAAAGCAATTTTTGGATCTTATAGGTCATAATTTCAGTTCTAGCACCCTTGGTGGATAGAAGTTATCCCGGGGGGAGGGGGTACTCCCCTATATTCGCTATACGGGGACGTGCCGCCARCYAGGGTATCGTTTTCAGCGATTTTACTMTGGAACTGGGTATCGWTTTTRGCGATTTTACTYTGGAACAGGGTATCGATTTCAACGAATTTTCTCTGAAACAGGGTCAGGGTTTAATTCCGGAATTATTGATGCCGGATAAAAATTCACGGGGTAAAATTCGGTCTACAGGCAAGCTACATTGTAGTGCTGGATTTTACTCTGGAACAGGATATCGTTTTTTAGTGATTTTACTCTGGAACAGGGTAAAGTTTTCAGCGATTTCACTCACCTAAAGACGTACAGAAGAATCTTTAAATAGATTTTGAAGGCAACTCAAACGCTATGAAAGAAAGTACCGCATTTCTCTGTTTAACTGCAACAACATTAAGAAAACCTTATATATTCCTATTTATTCAAATTCATTTGCTATTCACTTAAATTGTAACTTAATGTGTAATGTGTATTAAAAATGTTGTTGTTGTTGTTGTTGTTGTTGTTGTTAATCAGGAATTTGAGCAATGCATGCAAAAAAATAATGTTGAAAGAAGAGAAATCTGCCAAAGCAATATATGCAAAGGAAAATAATGTTGAAAGAAGAGAAATCTGCCAAAGCAATATATGCAAAGGAAAATAATGTTGAAAGAAGAGAAATCTGCCAAATCTCCTGTGTTTTCGTATATCAAAATCGCTTTATAATTAACGTGGGGTATAGGTGGGCGCCAATGTTTACGTTCAAGCTACAATAGTTTGCATAAAATTCAGAAATCGAATTTCAAGACAAAAGAAAATCAAGCCCATAAATGAAAAGAACTCATACCTGTTAACAATTCCTGCAAATTTGAAGGCAATTGGTTAAATATTTCAAGAGATATCAAGCGCCAAATTTGCAAGATTTTCTAAAGAAATGACCGTGGTTGGCATTATTTTGCCAACCACTGAATGTTTTCTATAGATTTTCTAGTTTTGAAATGCCGATATCTCGAAATGTAAAAAGGCGTTTGCCCCAGAATTTTCAGGTTTTTTTGAGAGTAATATAATCTTGAAATATATTAGTATTCCTTATTTTTTGAATTTTATATTTTGGGTGTAAACAAACTACGTCATCGTACGCCCACCTATTCACTACATTTTAATCAATGCCGAGTGATGAAGCCTTGGGATGTGGGTACCTCTGCATCTTATTTGGTATTTTATGAATTCATTATAAATTATGTTTATGTGAACATATTTTCGTCCAAATGCTTCTTTGCTAATGACTGAATGATATTTGACGAACATATTGTTTGAATACTGAATCCGTAAAAAAAAATATTGCTTTAGGGCGTTTGCTAATATCATGCTATCTCTTTAGGTGTTGTCAGTGGAATTATACGAAACAAAGATACCAACAAATGCATATCTATTGAGAAATCGAGGATATCCACAACAGGTGAGAAAAAAGAAACAATCATTTCCTTTTAGTTGTTTGTGCTTAATAAGTTTTGTTAAACAAGTTAGGACAACAAGAGATTTCGACGTTTCGACGCCATCGCGCGTCATTTTCAAGAATAATTTATTAKATCGATCACTACAGTTTTTATATGTTATGGAATATATTACATGTCTCTTGGGATAATCTTATTTTAGAACAATTTTGACTTAATTGAGTCAGACTGTGCATTTAGCAGTGGTTCTTTGTTCTTGATGTATAGCATTTCATAGATTAAGCATTCTGATTTGTTCTTACATCTTCTGAGTACTTTAAAACTCTCTTTGAAACCTTGTAGGCTTTCATGGCAATCTTTGTGATGATTTCCAACTTTGGTTGATGCGTGTTCGTCGATGCGCTGGAAGAGGTGACGGCACGTGTAGCCTTGTGAGGCGGGTTATATAGGCTACACGTGCCGTCACCTCTTCCAACGCATCGACGAACACGCATCAATTAAGTCAAAAGTGTTCTAAAACAAGACGCTTGTCAGCGTGCACTCGGGGTTCTTTTTAGCGTTGTCTCTTGGTTTAATGATACATAGAATATTGGCAACGTCTTTCATTTGAATAACTATAACAATTATATTTTTGGTGGCGCCACATTTTGTTGTGCGATTGTCATCAATGTAGCTAAAAATTTSTTTCCAAGGAAAAWAATCGTACAARAACATTTATTTAGAAGAACGGCTCCTTCTGAATTATACTCATGTCGGTATAGTAGTTATAGCTTTGAATATCAGTAGCTTTCTATTAGTTCATGATTGGCTTTGGATAGATTAAATGGCTTGTGTATCATAACTTAAGTCACAATAAGCTTGATAAATTCGCGGTATTTTTCAAAAAGCCCATTCCGAAAACGGTCGACATCTTTTAGTGTGTCTATACCGCGAATTCTTTGTGGATTTGTAAGTGATTTGAGCGTATTTTTGAAGAATAAGCAATACCATAAGTCCATCGACGAAGAAGCTGCTGCAATCAGCACTTGACGCATGGGACGAGACAAGRCAGGCTAGTCTGGCTAGTCTGGCCGCGATTTGGCGATGAATGCGAAAAAAAAATAAAAACAAAGCCGAAATTAATACTCGGCGTTCCACAGGAACCCCGAGTAATAAGATTATCCCAAGAGACATGTAATATATTCCATAACATATAAAGACTGTAGTGATCGATCTAATGAATTATTCTTGAAAATGACGCGCGATGGCGTCGAAACGTCGAAATCTCTTGTTGTCCTAACTTGTTTAACAAAAATCATTTCCTTCTTGAAAATTATCATGCAGTTATACCAATATAAAATGAACTTTTCCTTTTTAACATTTATWTTTTGTTTGGTTGTTGTTCTTCTTTTTGTTTGCCTTTGTTTAAAACATAGTACTTTCCAAGAGCAAAAACAAATGTCCAAAACCTATGTTATAAGTTTATATATAAAAAAAAAACAAATTCTAAGAAAGTGTCCACCCCGTGCTCGATCTAGATGCGAATATTCTTTTCATTGGAAGCYGATAAATCTAGCCCAGTTACTAAATGCAGTCTCAAATCAGTCTTGACCATACATATCGATTTCTTCCACACCTAATGTGTGAAATTCCAAAGGCAACCCAAGCAAAGATTTTGATTTTTACTCGCAAACTCAATTTATCAAAATGCATATTTCAAAAACAGATTAAAGATCAAAACGCTGTCAGAAAAGGGAACTTTTTTATGCAACCCCTGCTAGAATCATAAACCTAGAGATCAGGCGACAAGGATCTCTGAAAGGTAAACTATTCGCTGCATGGTCGTGCCAAGAAATCGATAAAACCAAAAGTGAAACGCTGTCTGTCTKTGGAAATCGTGGATCGAATTGCAATCACGCACTTTTAAAGCCTGTAAATTTGATTTAAATATTATGTAAGTGTCCAAAATGATGAAAATTTGATGTAAATGATTTGGACACTTAAATAATATTTAAGTCAAATTGACAACCTTTTTAAGTGCGTGATTGTTTCCAGAGTACACGATTCATCTTGGTCACAACAATCGCGTATTTCGTAGCAACGCGCTCTTGMACCGGAGAGCTTACTGCTCATGTGCTTTGACCGTAAGTAATAAAAACCCGCGTTTTCACAGCGCTAAATTTTCGCGTGTTGAGCGAGTACTTTCTCTGTATTTTTCCGTTATTTGAAGGACTTCAAACTTCAAGTACAACATTAATCTGCTAGTTCTCACAATAAACACGGACATGCACGCTCTAT